TGGTCTGCTCTTCCAGGGCGCATACGGCCGACCCTTTGAGTGCGGATGCATAGCATTCTCGTGAGGTCTTTTGCTCACCTCGGACTGTGCTTACTCCATTAGGGGTTGAGTACTTCAGGACCTGATGCAGTGTGGAGGGGACGACCCGGAATGAGTGGATAATAGGTCTCCCGAAGATGGCGTTGTAGGCCGACTTGCCGTCGATCACCACGAACTCAGCCATCTGCGTTACTTGGGTAGCGTCTTGTCTGATAGTTACCGGCAGGTCAATGCACCCTTCTGGGGAGACTGATTCTCCAGAGAATCCAACCAACGTGTTGGACTCTTCTTTAATTGTAACCTGGTCCATCCCAATGCTAGATATGTTGGGAGGGACAAGATGTTGGCAGATGCGCCTCCATCAACCAATAGGACCAAGACGTGATCGATCAGAGGGGCGATCACCAGTGCATCGTTATGGGGCAAGTGGACCCCCTCCAAGTCGGCATCGTCGAAAGTGATGGAGCAAGTAGGTTTTTGCTCCCTGATAATGCATACCTCGCGCCTGGCCTCGCGAGCTAGTTCTTTCCTTTTGTTTCCGGACTGGCCCCCGCTCGGACCTCCGAAAATAGTGTTGATGACCGCAGGTCGGTCATCCCGGCGAGGCGGCGTTCTTGAACGCTTCCTCTCTTCTTTCTTTTCGACCGAGTTAGACCTCGGTTTGCCCACGAATTTTTTAAAGTAGCCATCTTGAATGAGGTCTTCAATCTGGCGCTTCAACTCCCAGCAACTTGTCGTATTATGGTCGTGATCGCGATGAAAACGGCAGTTCTTATCCTTGCTGCGCTTTTCTGGGTCTCCTCGGAGCTTCTCAGGTGACTTGAGGAGCTTTTCCATCCCGCTCTCCTCGATGTTCGTGAGTATCTCGGAGATGAGGATGGTGGTTGGTGTGTACCGTTCATAAGGTCGGCTCCGGCTGGGGCCGCTCTCCAACCTACGGTGCTCTGCTCTGCTGGCGGAAGAAGACGATCCCTTGTCTCTGGACTTGGAATCAGTCTTTCTTTTCTCTTGAATCAATTTCTTCTGATCGATCTGCTTTTCAGGTCGGCCAGTCTTGGTTCGGAGGAGCTCTTGCCCATCAATGACTTTCTTTGCCTTCTGCAAGACTTCGGCGAAGGTTGCCGGAGCCTCCTCTCCGAGCTTCACAGTGAGGGTCTCATCGGCCAGGCCGGTGAGGAAGTAGCACATGGCCGAATCGTCGGAGCAGTGCACAACCTTCAGCTGCTCCTCCTGGAACCTTGTGACATATTCTCTCAGCGTCTCTCMTTCCTTCTGCCTGATGGTGGCAAGGTGAGTCGCTGTCTTTCTATCATAATGCCGMGAGGRGAACTGACTGATGAACTCCTTCCTCAGCTGGGAGTAGGTCGAGATCGACCTGGCCGGCAGTCTTCGGTACCACAAGCGCGCGYTGCCTGTGAGCGCGATCTGGAAGGCGCGGCACTTGATCGCATCTGTTGCCGCTTGGAAGTCCATGAGGCCCTCGAAGACCTCAACATAGTCTTTAGGGTCCTTAGACCCATCATA